CAACGTCAATCTCCCAAAACATCTAGTTCTGAAACGATTCCATCCTCTATTAAAGTGTGAAACAGCCAAGAGTTTCCAGCAGGATAAACAAATATATTCAAAACAGCAGTGTAGAAATGCTTGTCCCTTATGTGAGCTGCAGATGGATCATCAAAAGCACTTTACGGGTGGAGAAGCAGAAAATAAGTCATAAAGAGACTGAGAGAAAGATGAAAAAGGCACAATTTAACAATACAGGGCCTAATTCGTAGGTTTTATATCCAGAAGAGACCACTATGAGCATCCAGTCTGGTCATCTGCACACTACAGATCAGAGCATCCCACCAAACAATTTGTCACTGAACTAGAGCATCTATTAGTCTATAGAATCATAGAATCATAGGACTGGAAGGGACCTCGAGAGGTCATCGAGTCCAGCCCCCCGCCCTCAAGGCAGGACCAAGCTCCGTCTACACCATCTCTGACAGATGTCTATCTAACCTGTTCTTAAATATCTCCAGAGAGGGAGATTCCACCACCTCCCTTGGCAATTTATTCCAATATTTGACCACCCTGACAGTTAGGAATTTTTTCCTAATGTCCAATCTAAACCTCCCTTGCTGCACTTTAAGCCCATTACTCCTTGTCCTGTCCTCAGAAACCAAGAGGAACAAATTTTCTCCTTCCTCCTTGTGACACCCTTTTAGATATTTGAAAACCGCTATCATGTCCCCCCTTAATATTCTTTTTTCCAAACTAAACATGCCCAGTTCATGAAGCCTGGCTTCATAGGTCATGTTCTCTAAACCTTTACTCATTTTTGTTTATCTTCTCTGTACCCTTTCCAATTTCTCCACATCTTTCTTGAAATGTGGCGCCCAGAACTGGACACAGTACTCCAGCTGAGGCCTAACTAGTGCAGAGTAGAGCGGCAGAATGACTTCATGAGTTTTGCTTACCACACACCTGTTGATACAACCTAGAATCATATTTGCTTTTTTTGCAACAGCATCACACTGTTGACTCATATTCAACTTGTGGTCCACTATGACCCCTAGATCCCTTTCCGCTATGCTCCTTCTTAGATAGTCGCTTCCCATCTTGTATGTATGGAACTGGTTGTTCCTTCCTAAGTGGAGCACTTTGCATTTCTCTTTATTAAACCTCATCCTGTTTACCTCTGACCATTTCTCTAACTTGCTAAGGTCATTTTGAATTATGTCCCTCTCCTCCAAAGAAGTTGCAACCCCACCCAGTTTGGTATCATCTGCAAACTTAATAAGCGTACTCTCTATCCCAATATCTACATCATTGATGAAGATATTGAACAGTACGGGTCCCAAAACAGACCTTTGCAGAACTCCACTTGTTATCCCTTTCCAGCAGGATTTAGCACCGTTAACAACAACTCTCTGACTATGGTTATCCAGCCAATTATGCACCCACCCTATCGTGGCCCTATCTAAGTTATATTTGCCTAGTTTATCAATAAGAATATCATGTCTATGCCGTCTGTCCCCACCCCCGTATACCGACTTGGCACAGTTAACCCATACCATCACTTGCTACTGCCCATGCCACTGTGACTACACCACTATTTTTAGTGCACTGGCATAATAAGTCTGAGGGCAAGCATATGCCTACGAGACTCACACTCATTAAAGAGACAGCAAATTTTTACTTAGGTCATGTCTACATGGGGAAATTTACCAACATAAGTATTCTGGAATAACACTGAAAATAGAAAAAAAACTTTAAAAACAATGAATAGTCCTGCAGCACCTTAGAGACTAACAAAAAAATGTAGATAGTATCATGAACTTTCATGGGTTGCAGAAGTGGTTTGTGCCCACCCACAAAAGTTCATGATGCCATCTACTTTTTTTTTTTTTTTTTTTTTGGTCTCTAAGGTGCTGCAGGACTATTTGTTGTTTTTTAAGTTTTTTCAGTAGCAGACTAACACAGCTACCCCTCAGAAACTGAAAGTAGTGTCATTATTCTGGAATAAAATCATGTTGAGTTTGAAAAAGTGTCCACACAGAGAATTTATTCCATACTAGGCAATTAGCCCGTCATAAGACAGGATTTTCAGGTCTCTCCTCCACGTCGGTCTTCTCTCCTGAGCCTCCGGTCTCTCGCTCCATCTTTTTTTCTCTCTCTCGCTCTCCCCTCTCCTCCTCCTCCTCCTGCCTCCCACTCTCTCTCAGCTCTCCTCCACCTCCTGCCTCTCTCTCCCTCTTCTCCTCCCCCTCCTGCCTCTCATTCGGGGGACCGTGGAGCCCAAATGGCCATTTGGGCTCTGCACTCCCTGTGCTACATGGGGAGCGTGGAGCCCGAACGGTCGCTTGCGCCACTTGCTCCCACGCGGTGGCCTGGCTGAGAGGCGCAGAAGTCAGCCAAGCACCACGGCGGGAGGCGAAGGGGGGCGAGGCGGTGATGTTCACGGCCAGGGGGTGGGGCCTGGAGCCACGGTCACGGCGCACGTCACCGCTCCACTCCCCTTCCTGGCTCTCAGATTACTTCTGCGCCGCTCAGCCAGGCCGCTGCAGGGGACAAAGACTGGACAAAGACTGAGGATCAAAGTCTGCAGGCCTTCTTCCTTCCCACATAATGGACAGAGCAGCAGGCTGCGTGTAGAGAAGGAGAGTGCTACTCTTCAAGAAAAGGGAAGCAATTATTACAACTTTCTAAAGTATGTTTCGTTCTCTGCTTCTGGGTGACACAGCTAAGCCCTGCTTCTTTCTCTGGGCAGACTGGAAAGTTACCTCTGGCACAGAGAGCAAGGAACTTTCCCAAAGTCACAAGGAATGCAAGCTGCGGCTGAGCCTTGCAGCTAGATCCTTGCCCAGTGCCTTATGCACAAAGCAGATGCTTGCTTTCTAAACCAGCCAGCAGGGCCTACACCCTCTGATGGGGAAAGAAATGTGAAAATCGTCGATCAGACAGACAGAAGTGGGCAAATACTGCTGAGCTGCCTATCTACTTATCCATCCGCCCAGATGGATTTCTTATCCTTTCTTTATTTGCCATCTGCTTTCCCGTTCCTTCATTCCATTCTCCAGGATGATAGAGTTCTCAAAACAATTTCACCACTCGCCCACGAAAGGACATTTTGCTTGTTTGTTTGTTTTAATTTACTTCCTTAAACGATGCCTTTTGGTACTTTGAATTCCAAACTCCTGTGGCTGCCTGCTGCACATTTGACATTGCTCCAAGGTCAATAACGCTACAAAAAACCTGCCAGATTCAAGTCATGCTGCAAATTCCTGATAAGTAGCTGGGAAGCAGTTTCATTTGTATAGGTAATGACAAATTTAAACTATAATAAGATCCACATCAAAAGTTAGCAGATTTAACTTATTTTGTTTGTATTAATGTGTTTCTGCAATGACTGAGCCCAACCAGTTTGAAATTAGCTAATTTAAAATTGAACAATAAATCAATCGAGGCTGAATTTATTATATTGTGCAATTTGATGATCTGTTGGTTCCAAAGTGGAAAGACTCAGCTTGCTGTAAATATCTGGCCCTGTGATTGCAGACATCAAAATGGTCAGCATCAGACTCAAATCCTATAGGGACCAATCAGCCTTATGCAGAGTTGTATTCACTACAAACCGTATTCATGTCTCTCACAGAAGCTAGTGGGAGTTCTGGGTGCACAAGAAATGCAGATTGGGCAATAGGCAAGTCACTGTGATCGAGGAATAGGAATATTCTCCCTGACTCCTGTGGGCTGGGGATTGGGCCATATGGGTCTGTGAAATCATTAGGGAAACACCTATTGAGTTAAGTAATTCAGGATCAGGCCTTCAAGTAACAGCTAATCCAATGCTGCTGTGGTATGAAATAGAGATGGGACTGAGCCAGAAGATTCAGATCTGGGTTTCAGATGCCTCATTTCCTGAGGAGTGTCCAGATCTGTGGTTTGGATTCCGCCTATGACAAGAACTGGGGCCAGCTGCAGAATTGAAAGCCAGATCACACTTCATGGCAGGGGGGGGGGTGTCAGTTCAGACCTGTCTCTGGTATTGGCTAGGTAAGCTCAGTGAATTTCCCAGGTAAACCCCATCATAGTGTGTCAACATGTACAAAAGGCTCACACATCACGCAGGTGTGGTGACAGACTGCACAACCACGTGGTCTGTAGTCGCCATGACCCTTTGATGGCTTCATGCACACTTTGCCTATGAATCCTTCTCCCCCAGGACACAGTCCCACCCTCTCCGCAGTGTTGAACTGACACCATCTTGTTCAGGGATCAGCCAGCCCCGAAACATTTTCTATTCCTCCAGCTCCTCCTCTCAAGAGCCACCTGCACACGGTGTCCACAGTTTGAAATGGGAGCTGTGTGCCATAGGAAAGGGGAGGTCCTCAACTCCTGATAGGCAAAGCAGGGACTTCTGGTCTCGAAGGCTTCCGAGCATCTTAGAGCCCTCTCAGCCCTGTACCAGCGATGGCTCAGGGACACCATTCTACAAGTGAAGGGATACACACACAGAGTGCACACGCAGGCTCCGATTCAGCCAGCTATAAAGCACATGCTTAACTTTAAGCACATGAGTAATCCCACCAACTTCAGTGGGTCTCCCTGACTTCAACAGGCTGGAAACATCACATGCTTAAAATTAGGCTCATGCTTAAGTGCCTTGATGAATCAGGACCACAACCCCTGATCCCATTACCCGATAAAGATGTAAGGATCCATACCACAGACAAATGTCCAACATGGATGGTCTAAGTGCACTTATTCCTGCCTCAGTGTGTCAGGAGGACTGGTTGACCTGACCCCTCTAAAGTTCTGCCCAGCCCTACATTTCTCTGATTCGATGCTAGCAGCCCCCATGGCAGTGTCAGGGCTATACTGTGCACCATGTCCATTTGCAGATATACATGTGATGCAACAGTTCATGCAAATGGCCCACAGCTTTGGACAAATCTCAGAACATTGTTTTACCATCTTCATTTCATGTATCAATATTTGTATCTGGTAAGATGTAATTCTTTGCTCTTTCTTTACAGAGAAAGCATCTGGTGCAAGACAAAGTCGCTTTGCTGATGAAGCAAAACCTCCCTAAAAAGAGTTGTTTCTCTTTGATTTTCAAATATCCACAGTAATTCTTTTCCCCTCCATCCTTTGTTTGCTGACTGTTGTTTTTTAACGATCCGTCCTCATTGAAACCATTGATGCATCTCAGATGTCCTTTGTCCCCAGAGGCAAACCATTTTGCTCGCAGCGTGGTGAGTTTTAATCATTTTCCTTTTATCGAAATAGCCGCATTCTGGATGGGCTGCCTGACAAACGGCTGCAAAATGGATCACTTCCGAGTTCAGCTCCTGCCAGCCTACCCCCACAATCAGCAGACCCAGACCACACATCCATCACGGGCCTCTGAATAAGCCCAATCCACTCCGGATAGTAATTTACAAATACAACAAAAGGAGGCCGGACACCTGCTCGACACCCAGACAGGATTTTGGTTACTTTATTGCCAGGTCAGTGATGTCAACAGAAGAAAGTAAGCAGAGAGGCAAGCAGGACTGAGAAAAGAAAGGCACGGGGCCAGAGTTTCAATGGTGTTTTGCCACCAATTCCACTGATTTCACTGACCCATAGAGACTAAAAAAATAAGGGCCAGATTCTGACACCTTTACTCACATTGCACCAGATGCTAGGTCGCGGTGAATCAGTTAGTCTCCAACGGAATTACACCCGTTTACACTAGTCACAGATCTGGTCCACTGAAAGTACCTTCTTCACTGAGTAATTCCAACTGACTTCAGTGGGACTGACTACAGAATGGAGCCCTGATACTGCAAGATGTTCTATGTAGGCATGAATATGGGTAACAGGGTCTGACCCTAAGTCATTGTACTGACTGGGCCCTACGCAGGTTCAAATTGGCATAGTCTATGACTTTACTTTGATTTACCCCAGCAGAGTATCTGGTGCTGTGTCTTAAAATGCCATTCTGGTACCTTCAAAAATACAGTGATTTTCATTTCTATTCTCATATTAGCAACAACCATAGTTATTGCCATCAAAATAGCCATTTGCGTGGAGATTCACTGATGGAAATGCCTTGCCATCAATGTAATGGAAAAATAGCCCGTGCTGCTTTTAAATTCACCCATCAAAAATCCACACTACCGATTCGCCATACCAATGCACTTCAAACACATATAATCCAGGCAAATGGAAAGCAGGCCGATATGGAAGCTACCCAATAATTACAAGAACAACCTTTCAAATATCAGTGTAGCCCGAATCCACGACACCCAAAGGGATTTTACACTGAGTCAATCAAGTGGAGATTTTCAAAGGCACAGAGGCCAGTCAGGGCCCCAGTGCCCATTGAAAGGTTATGGGTATCTGCTGTCTGACACCTATTTGTGACCCTGAAAATCTCCCTTGTAATTGTAGCCCAAGGTCCAGTGTGTTTCAGCAGCAGCCCTGGGAACTACAAGTTGTGGACTACAAACTGCGGCATGTTGGGAGAACTTCCTGGTTCCTGCCAGGATGTGCCCTCCACCCCCAGCAGGGTCTCAGCAAGGACTGTGCTAGAAGCAGCACACAGGCTGCATGCTGAGAGAAGGGGCTGCTGAACTGTTTTCCTGTTCTATGTTTTTTACAGAATAAAGCCTGTTCCTGGTGATTTGTCGGAGTGGGTCTGGTCTGAGGTGCACTCACACATACACAACGCAGAGCACACCAAGCAGCCTCAGGCCTAGCTCTCCCCCCACAGTGGTGTAAGAAGTCACAAGCTTCCCCTATGCTGAATAACCTCACACTGGGCTAGCCAACAGGAGGAGTTACATAATTATCATCACCATCGTATCTTTCAGCACGTGAGTAGACTTTGTGTTGAATTTCATGATGCTCTGTGAAATAAGCCAGTATTTGTATATCAAACACTGAGGCAAAGAAAAAGTGAATGAATTACCCATGGTCACACAACAAAGGTAAAAACCAGACCTAATAAATTATGGAAAAGGCCTGATCTTAAACCCTTACACCAGTGGCAGGAATCCTGTTAAATTGTATTATAAAGGTCATCAGCACTCACCTCCACATGTCTGAGAGTCATGGATCCTTGTATAGTCAATGAGTGTAATCCCAGAATGGGCTATGATTTAGCATATCACTTGAGCTCATGTTGATGTCCAATTGACGTCAACAGGACTTAAACACATGCCTGGCTTCAAGCATTTGAGCAGTCCCATTGGAGTCACTCATGTGTTTAATGTTCACTGTGTGTCTGAGTGCATTGCTGCATCATGGCTATGGTTATGCAGAGGAGCAGGGAGGTGCAATAGACAAGCTTCCCCCTGATTTATTACAGACAAAAATCCCACTGCTTGTAGCACGGGTACATCTGTACCCATTGATCGCAGTATTTCATCAGGACTCTGTATGAATTCCAGATCAAAATGCCATAGTGAAGTCAGCTTGGAAGAGTTTGAAATTAATGTTCTTTCGATGCACATCTCCAACCTACCCACAGCAAAAAAATATGATCTGTACAACATCCTGAATATATATATATAGATAGATAGATATAGATATAGATAGTATCATTAGCTTTTGTGGACAAAATCCACTTCCTCAGATGAATTAGAGTGGAAATAACAGAAACTAAGATAGATAGATATATATATATACACACCTAACAGCAGAAGAAGTACCTATCAACTGTAGAACCACTTCACAGGACCACTGATTCTTTCAGGAAGAGGGTGAAAATGGTTATTGGCAGTAGTAGGTGCCCAGCCTGGAGAAGCTGGTTGTGAATTTTTCATTGAAACATTTTTTCTTTGGAAAATACCAACTAATCAAAATCAAAACTGCTCATGGAAAAGGGCCAGCTTGGACGAATCTCCCAATACAAAATATTGTTGGGAAAAATATTCAATTTTTGTTGACATTTTTTAACAAACATTTCATTCTTTTCTATTTAATAATGACTTTTTGTTTTTGAAATTTTAGATAGTATATACTAAAAAAAATTAAAAGATAGCTATGTAAAATGTAAATGAAATACCCTTAAATTATCGAAACAAACTGGTTTGACTGACCCAATACAATTCTCTTTTGGATTATTGGTTTGCAGAATTATTATTTGTAATGATTCATCCCAATTCAGGACAAAAACTGAAATCTTAAACTCGGGGGTAGGAAAACCTTTTGCAGTGCAGGTGTATTCTTTTTAAAGGCCAAGTGACCTGGCAGAGGGCCTTGTCTTAGGACATCACTGATAGAGAAATTGAGTTATTTGAGTACTGTAGGTAGATCTGAAAGGATTCATTTTTTATTAGTAAATGTCAGTTAATGTCTATTTCACCATACATGAAAAAAAGAAACAATGAAAAAAATGCTTCAGTCGATTATAATCAAAACTGACAGACAAAGTAAGAATAATGCTGCTTGAGAATTCAGATTTGATTTAAGGATGTTTACTCTGAATATTTTGACTTGTGGTGTTCACAATTTGTATTTTAACATTCATAAAGCTTTAACTTTTCAAATCTCAGCATCTACTAATTCTGCCAAGCCTACCTGTCGGTGAGATCAGATTTAAAATGTTTTGTCTCCCCTCACGGTCACACAGAATGGTGTGAGGCGTGTGCATGCAACATCCCAGCTGAAAACATCATGTCCAGATTCCCATCTGGGCTATTTAATTGTCTCTGTGGTAAGGCACAGAGCAGAGCTTTTTCCACGATGAAGTCACTTGCCAATGTCCATCCAATTTAACTGTGTTCATCCAGGGCTCTGGGGACCACAGTTCCTCCCTGAGGAGCTGGGCTGGTTTTAAACATAGTACAGCAACATTTCACGAATCCGCCTCATGCAGTCATTGGTTCTCATGCCCTCTCACTACTTGCCACCACTGCTGTGGCCAACAAATTAGTAACTGCAGTGTGTGTGTGTATGGTCCTAGACTAGTCAGGTCCCTCTCTTCACCTCTGTGCCGGGGCTCTAGCCAGGGGTGTGGGAGCAACATTGTCCTTTTCCACAATTGTTGCTAAGCCATGTCCCATGTGCAATATTGTTGCTATACTGTAGCAAGAAAACTGTGTTAATAAATGGATTCCCAGCTTTCTGCCACCCATCGCCATACAACATAGTTGCGGAGTTGCAAAAATTACACCAGGGATCCACATGGTCTCTCCCAGCCAGGATAAGGTGGAGCAGCCCTATGGTAGGGCTCTGACTCAGGACCAGAGAAATATTAGGTAGCTCCATCCCTCTGCTGTGCAAAGCTTTGCTTGGCTGGTATTTATCACAGCCTGTAGTAGACATCAGTGCACTCAATCAGCAAGAGGTCATTCTGGCGGGAAACGGGCATGCTAAAAAGACCCATTTAGAGCCCATGCAGATGCCAAGGGACAGTCAGAGACCTGGTCTACTTAAAACTTAGGTGAATTCACTACGTCATTCAGGGGTGTGAAAAATTCACATCCCTAAGAGACACAGTTAAGCCAATCTACTGCCTCAGTGTAGACAGCACTTGGGCAATGGAAGAAGTCTTCTGCTGACCTCGCACTATCCTCTTGCAGGGGTGCATTTACTGCAGTGAGAGAAGAACACCTCCCATTGTTGTAATAAGTATCCACACTGCAATGGGGCTGTAGCATTTCTGGTGCAGGTATACCCTTCACAAGGACATAAACATCATCACACTAATGGCACAGCCAGCACTGAACGTTGTGCAAAGCATGGCTATCCACTACATGCCAACAGTGCTCTGCTTTGAATGAACTGATTGGGTAGTAAAGGAAGATCCCTTATGTCTGCATTCACATGGGCCAAAATCTGACTTGTCTGTCAGCATATTATTAGAGCCAAAGGACATGTTACCAGGCACCACTTCAAAGACCAGGTCCTAAGCCCCACTAACTTTTCTACTAGAAGTTTCAGTCGGTCAAGGCCATGCCATCTTCTCCCACTGGAAAATCTCCTGGGGGAGATGTGCAATGATTGGCTCCAATATCACTATTCATAGACGTACGCCTATCCACGTCAGACCCATGCTCATGTCATAGATTTCAGAGTCAGAGCTCCAGCTGGTGTAACCGTCCTGGCTCTGCAAAGCTTTTCTTTCACTGCTGGAAGGGGGGGGGAGGGGGGGGGCCGGAACACAC